CAATTGGTTGATAAATGTTTCACTTATTTGCCTGAAACATTTTATTTCATCTTGGTTCTTGAATGATAGTAGTTCTGGGTATTGAATTAGAAGTTGTAGAGTGATTTACTTTCAATATTTTGAAGACATCACAGTGCCTCTGGCTTCTCCTTTTGGTACTGAGATATTGACCTATTGTTATGCTATTACTCTATTATTTTTGCCACTTCTAAAATTTTTTCTTTGTCCCTGAGTTTTCATTATCTTTTATACTACTAAAACACTATAATTACTATCCTAGAACTATTATGTATTACTATAATATATTTTGCTCAGAATTTGTTTTCATTTACCATTTTAGTGATTTCTTGATCTTTATTCAGAATAAAAAGCTGGTCATCTTTCATTTTTCTATAAAATCATATTCATAATTTCATAGCTTACAATTATTTTTCAAAATTCATAATTATATTCAATTTTATTTTCAAATATTGTCTTTGACTATGCTGCTAATCTTTTTATTTTGGAATTTCATTGCCTTATTTCAGCCTTCTTCAAAGCATCTTCTGTGCAGTATTTGATATGTGTGATTATTTCTTTTTGTGAATTGTCTCATGAATATTGTCTGAAGTTTGTCTTTTAAACTTGATTCCACTTCAATGCACTGAAATTTTCACTTTAGTTACTTTTTTTTTCATTTATACAACTTCCATTAGATTCCTTTTAAAGTCTTCACAGACATTTTACATATTTGATCCTCACTCAGATTGAAGAATTTTTAATCTTCCTGAAATATTTAAGGCATGCTTACTTAAATTATTTTACTATTTATACAATATAGGATGTATAAGCATATTTTTGCTAGTTTTCACTCATGGTATTTTTTTAAGATTTTTTAATTTGTATCTGTACATGAGTATTCTGAATTGAAGTTAAAATTTTGTAATGTAGATTTTGCGTTTACCTCTATTAGTTGTTGGGGATCCTGCAAGTCATATAAAGTTGAAGATCAAATGCTCATGAGGATCATATTATGGTTATAAATTCTCAAAGGACAATTGTTCCTCTTCACACAACACCAGTGACATAAAGAAGTTTATTTACTATCCTGTATGCTATGGGTTTATTGCAGGTGTAATCCTTTGGGAACCCAGCTTTATAGGGCAATCTCCTATCATACCCCAAGGCTTTATCACATGTCTTCCATACCCCTGAAAAGCGATCAAAATGGAAAATTGAAAGCCCCTGGGTTTGGTGCCTCAACAGAGGGTTAAAACTGGCTGTTGAGCACACCTAATTTCTAGGGTCTCACTTTAACTATTTTTAACC